CCCCCTCCCCCCTCCCCGTTGATGGCTACAACTATACACATCCACAGTACTTACAAAATTATCGTAACATCAGGACAGTATTTACAAAATGATCGTAACATCAGGACAGTATTTACAAAATGATCGTAACATCAGGACAATGCTTACAAAATGATTGCAACAGCAGGACAGTACTGATAAAATGTTCCCGATGCACTATAGCACTTTTATGTTGTTCCTGCCCAAAGGACAGTATTTTTACTAAATGTTCCAATCAAAGGACACAGTACTAAGAAAATGTTCATAGAAGTAGGGCAGTATTTATATAAAGTTGCCCCACAAAGGAAGGGTAGTTCTTACAAAATGCTCTGACTACATGTAGAACAGCAGTGACAAAATGTTCCCACTACTCGTAGAACAGTACTGACAAAATGTTCCTGCCAAAAGGAAAATATTTATCATTTAAAGAGTCCACCTCAAAGGGATGAGGTCAAAATGTACCTGACAGGACCATAACATTTGTAAAGTATTCCTGACTTTAGCACAACATGGACATTCATTTTCTTTGTAATTACCACAGTACGGACAAAATGACCCCTCTCATGAAGAACAGTTTAGACAAATGTTGTATATTACATTGACACCAACATACAAATAATGATTTTATATTTTCTAAAATCACTTTCTGTTTTTTAGGTGAAAACTCAATTTGGGTAATTCATTTCACTTATGCATAACCATCCACACGTGGGTGAACTTATGTTTGTGTATTCACACTCATTTATGTTGTTTTACAGTAAATGATCAATACCTTACAGTGAGTACATTTATGTCGTAAATGTAGTTTTTTTATTACAATGCTTGAGTTTGTACAAGGTGAAGGTAGTTCATTTCATTCAATCACAACTTCACAGTAACACATTTCATTCAATCATAAACTTAAAGTAACAGATTTCATTTAGTCATAACCTCACAGTGATTGGTGGTTACTAAACAGTAGATGAGTTTTTACAAATGTAATGAACTTCATTTATACATATATATCCTTACTCTGAATGAGTCTATATAACATAAGGATGATGCATTTATTTTGCGTGCGACTTGTATACAGAAAAGGTGTCATCTTAAAACAAATGATTTCTGACAGTAAGTATATCATGTGTTCCGCTTCATTCATACAGAAACTTACATTACAACCAGTAAGCTTATACAAACAACATACCTCCTTTTTTTTCCATAAAGCAAAATTAATGAATTTACACAGTATAGACATTGTGCAACACAACACATTCATTCGTAATCTCATAATGAATTATTGTAAGCAAAATACTTCACTCAAACCTGAGCTTAGCGTGGTGACAATAATGCATGAATGATTTTTCTCTCACACTAACAGTTATTTATGTAAGACAAAATATTGTTACATTCATTCATTCTATTCTTTCACTGAAAATATTCATAGACTTTCATTGTATGAATGCAACCAGGCATTTCATTCACACACTAGTTTACAATGAATGAGTTTCTGCAGAAGACACATTACCTTGTATTCATTCACAAATTTATCTAGTTTAGCAAATGTACTTACATAATACAAACTTATGGAAGATCAGATGCGGAATAAATGAGATTTGTGCAAATAACAGCAGATCAAAGACAATCTAGAATACTTTTCTCTGGATTTATCTGACAATTTAAGGTTTTATCTTTTGTGCAAACTAAAAAACAAACAAAAAAAAAAAAACGATCACATTATATAGGCAGCTGTTAGTTAGGGATGGAAAAGATAAATAAATTGACCAGACCAGGCAATGAATTTACCTTGGCTTCCAGGTCGACCCAGCATTAAATGAGTACCAGATAAAGTCCTTGGAAGTAAAGGTGGCCAGCAAGATGCTGCCACATCAGCCACTAAGTGCAGATTGCTTTATAACAGGGCTATTCAACTTGAGGCTTGCGGAGGCCTAGCAAGTGGCCGAAGGATCACTACCAGTTGTATTAAAGATCTTCCTAGGATGAGGTTTGAACCCAGACCAACAAAGAGATGATAATGTAGACTACATTTACAGTATGAACATGTTGCAGCACAACCAGTGGCATTGCTTAGCAAACATTTCTGAAAGCACTTTGAAAAATACACTTCTTGTTCTCCTTTGGACATTTTATAACAATAAATCAACGTGTTTGTAAAATACAGTTGACTGCAGTACAAAAATATACCAAGTTTGTGTGTGTGTCTGTTGTTCACTTACAAATGTAACAACACTGATATCATCATAAATTATTTGAACACTGTCCAGCCAGTGTGTGCGTGTGTAAATATATACATAAATATGTAAGTTCAACCTTACTTCCACACACATAGTTCAGCCAGTGCAATGGGCACATTGGGTACTTGCCTGGCTGCCCCACGAACATAGGGTTCCCATGCTAATTTGTGTATATTTTTAATAGTATCCATCATTTACATTTCCTTTCTGTGAGCGGTCGTAGTACGGGCCTCAGCAAACCAGTTTTCCCAGGGCCCATTATGTTCTTGAGATGGCTCTCAGTTCAATTCCACATGCACTGAAACTGTTCAGTGTAACATTCCCACAGATTGTTCAATGTTAAATCCACAAGCTAAATTCAGCAACATTCACACACATTTTCTTTCACAATGATTCTATTAGCCATTAAAATATTTACAGACTCCTACATTCAGACAAGTGTTAGGAGGAATAACACTGGACCTTAACCCTTGTAAAATATAATTTAACATAGTACACTGCTTTGGGCAGCAGGTATACCTTCAATATGAAATGGCACATGAAGATGAGATAAATGAAAGACAAGCAGGTAGAGAGGAAGGAGATGTATGGATTGATGGATAAGTGGGTGGATGGATGGATGAATAAAGATATGGATAGACAGATGAAGGAGTGATGGGTAGACAGGAATCTGTAGATGAAGAGAAAGATATGTTGTTGAATGGACAGATAGACTAGCAGGTATATAGCCATACTTTCTAAATTTGCATCTCTCAGAAAAGATATTCATATATACTAGATAATACTTAGCAAACACCCAATCACTTATTTGATTTTTGTTGATCCTGTGGCAGGCTTTGTCACAAACCACATCAGTAGCCAACTTGCTGAACGAAATCGCAGAGACACATGTGATCAAGATACACAAGGCTTGTATACACTTTACTTCTTGGAAGTAAACAGATTAAGTAGTACTGCAGAGGTCCACATTGCACTCACATGCGATGTCAGGAGCACAAGATCTTTGGGAGCCTGAATGTCTTGTCCCCCCCCCCCCTCACACACACACAACTAACCATGTCATGTATATAAGTTCTCTTATTAAACAATTGTGTTTATACATGTTATTTCAAATATATTAATGTTTTTGTTAGCTAATCAACAAGTTGTTATTAATTAAATTGGGGGGGGGGGGGGAGGGGCCTTGAGGTCGTAGACACATTATATATATATATATATATATATATATATATATATATATAATATATATATATATATATATATATATATATATATATATATATATATATATATATATATATATAAACAAAGACAGTGAATTATTCGGCACTCGTAGAACAAAAGTAGAAAGGCAGAAGGACAAACTAGACAACATAAAAATCGGAAGCCACAGTCACCTTATTATTAAGCATGTCACTCAAGAAAACCTGTTAAGGGAGCTGACCTCACCAGCCCAGCCCCCCCCCCCCCCCACCCCACCTCTTTTTTTCACCCCACTTTCCAATCTTTGTGTGTGAGTGCCCTTGTGTGGTGTAACAGGTAAATGGTACTTGCTGGTATTTTCATGTCCACCAGAACTCCTTCCCTAGTGTGGTCAGTATATCATCAGAATTTGGTTATTTTTCTTACAAGTAAAGTATTTGATTCACATTTTAAGGCTGTGTTGTCTTAACTTTAGGTCAATGAAATAGACCAAGGCAGAACAGGCACTTGATCAGTTGTTAAGGCTGAACATAAGAGGCTTGTCAACAGAATACTGTGTTTGTTCTACTAAGGTTTGAAAAGATAGGCTGAGTGTGCTTAACTGAACACTGGCACTTGGAAGTCTTGACCCAGATAGACTAATGGAATGTTGAAATGTGACTCATCTAATTCTTCTTTCTTTGCATTTTCTCCTAATGGGACAGTTTACATGTAGTGTTATGGTTTACAGCTAGGTTGCGACATCTGCACTTCTCGACCTATTACACAGAATTTCAGCAAACCCGTAATTAGTCACTTTTTATGATTTGCTTGTTAGGGGGCAGCAGGTCTACCACCCCCCCCCCCCCTTTTCCACATACACTCCATAGTTAAAACCAAAGAGCTCCCACAGAAGAAATATGATGTACAGGCGAAATAGATGCCTCAACAGGGAAGGACTTGTGTGTTAATTCTGACCACCAGAAAACTCATAGAGTACCAGAGGGTCACTTAGAGAGGTTAAAACTTTATATACAAGGGAGCTTACTGGTCGTTAACCATAAGGCGACCAAGAAGACGATGGAGAGATCATGTCCAGAGAGACCTGCAAACATGTGGTGTCACCAACTGGAAAGGGAAGGCCAATCAGAGAGATGATTAGAGGTGAGTGATATCTCCAGCAATGAACCTCAAGGATTCGTAATGCTGAAGAAGAAGACGACCAAAGGGTCATTGAATCTGATGACCCAAAACTTGTAAAATTATCATTGGGCCTAGAATCTGATGACCAGAAACTTCCTGTATATCCAGGGTAACAGATTTTGACGACCAGAAACGTATATATCACCAAGTCATAACTGGCCTTTGTAGTCAGTGTATCTTAGCAAATTCAAACGCAACTACCTGTTTTCGTTCAGCAATCACTGATGCCCCAGATGACATGGGGAAAATGCGTTTTGTTTTGTTTTCATGGAGTTTTTTGTGTGTTTGTGGTTCAAAAAAGTCTCAAGAACACGCGAACATCACACATGACCTACTTAAACACGGGTACTCATTCACAAAATGGAATCATTGCTGTAATATAAACAATCCGAACACATTTGCTGGCGAGACATTCTTGAGAAATGATGGATGACTAAGATACACGGAAATAACGTCCCCCTCTCGAAGTTCAAACGAGCCTTCAATATCAGTGCTTTTCACTTCGTTTGGCTTTAGGGTCACTTGTGAAAACAGTAAATGTTTCGATGCTCCTCGGGGATTCCATAAAAGGGAATGGACAATGATTATCTCGTCATAGTGTTCCGGCAAGGGGTTTTCGTTACTGCTCAGAGTCATGTGACTGTAGATGTGGTATTTTCCAGCTTTATGGATTGTGATTTGTCCATTGGCATACTCCACGCCGTCGCCCACAAATGTCCTGTGTTCGACATCTCTGTACAGCCAGACTAGATTAATATCTGTGAACAGATGCAAACAAGGTTTTATAGTTAACTGTAACAACATATATTTTTTATTTATTTTGTTTCCTAATTTTTGTGTGTGTTTTCTTTGTTGTTGTTTGTTTGTTTGTTTTGTTTACAATAGTTTTTAAATATTTTTTTAAACAAAAAGCAACTATGAGCAAAATATAAGGTTTGGATTAACTACCCATTCCCCTCCCCGCATTTTATAATTTCTCAGTGTTGGTAACAGAAGGTGAGGAGTCGAATGGTTAGAAGAGTGGGCTCTCTAGCGGGTGACCCGGGTTTGAATCCTCGTTAACCCTGGGGATTTTTTTCCTGTCGGAGGCAAAATAAAATTCTCACATGCACAGTCGTGGCAACAGCACTAGCCATGTGGCCGTAAATCCTCAGTCTCATAGACCCCCTGCCTACACCGCAAAAGTGGTAAAATAAAGGCAGTAATTGCCAGTTTGTTTTTTAATTGGCAGTAACAGAAGGTAATAAATCCTAAAACATTTCCCCACTGCAGATCACTGACTGTATTGAATGCCTCGGTGATGTGGTAAAACTGTTTGCCTTTCACTAAGAAGGTTTTGGGTTCATTTCATAGACCTGTCGTTTAGTTCATGGGGCAACTTTTACGAAGATCAATGGGGACTATTGCTGGAGCTACAGAGTTCGTTCTTTGTGCGACACTCTCGACAGGTGACTGGCCGTTTTGTGTAGAGAGAGACCAAGCCATTTGAGATAAAAAACAGTGCAATGAAGTCGATCCTCTTAACTTTACCACTTCTGGGGACAACACCCAGCTGGCCCTCACAACTTCTAGTTTGCCATAAATCAAATCACCACCAAGTGGTGAGGCACCGACCACTCTATCTGCCTGCTTGTTTCCGAATACGCCGGCATAAATGCAGAAAATATCCAGAGGTTATCCCTTTGGGACCTCTAAAGTGATGTTTGCCACTCAGCATGGAGCATGAGTGTCTCCACCTTTCTCAACATGCTCTGTGAGTCAGCTACAATTAGAACGTGTGCGCACAGTTTATTCTCAAGCCAGCAGATGGCAGCAGTGACTGCCTCCACCTCCATTCTCTAACTAGATGCTGTGATATCATATGCCATGCTGTGTTGCATTAAGCGACGTCCATTCCCGTTTGCTTTGAACCCCCATGAACTTTGTCTGCCTCTCAACACAGAGCCATGTGTTTAACTAGCACTTATCCTCAATAAGGATTCGAACCAGTGACTTAAGTCTTAAAAGTTAGGAGCCCCAACTACTATGCCAGTGAGTCTCCCAGAGCAAACAGTCAAGGCAGTCTCAGTCTCTAAAGAACGTAGGTTCATTTCACGGCTGCGTCGTCCAGTTCACAAGTTCCATTTTCAAGGAGGTCCCTGGTGATCGGCAACGGAGCCATGGAGTTCGTGCTTTGTGGGACGCTCTTGGCGACATTTTGCAGAGAATCCAAAAGGGATGAACCCCTGTGCCATAAACTCGATCTTTAACTTTTAACTTATGAGAAATAAGCATGATAATGATGATGAGCCAGTTACTCACCGTTTTTGTGTACAGAATCCTTCATTCTAGATTTGGTCTGTTCTACATCCAACATGAGATGAGCGGCAGCCAAAGATTGCCCACCTGCAGACTGGGAATTTCCAGAGCCGGTTGTGCAGGGCTGGGGTGCACGTGCGATATCTGTGTTTCCCACACATTGCCTCTTAAAGACGTCAGCGGTTAGACAGAACTGGAGAAACAGAAACAGAATGTAAACAGTAAAAGAAACAGATATTATATATGTAAACTAGGTGACCAGTAAAAAGAAACAGATATTATATATGTAAAATGGGTGAACAGTAAAAGAAACAGATATTATTCATGTAAACAGGGTAAACGTTAAAAAAAACCCAGATATGATTTATTTAAACTGAGTAAACAGAAAAAAGAAACAGATATGAGATATGTAAACTGGCTAAACAACTAATAACTGAGAACAATACGGATATGGAATATGTAAACTGGGAAAAGATAGTAAAACGGATATGGTAAATGTAAACTAGAAAAAGAGGACAAAACAGATATGTTGTTGGGCCGATAAATCGGCTTCGTTGTCTACAAAGAGTTAAGGGGGAAAAACATTTGGCCCCTAAGTAAACGCAGTTAAATAGCCTTGGCCTAGGTGTTAATTCTACGGACAACAACCCTGAAGGACAAAAAAGACCATCACCACCATCATCTGGCTGACTTGAGTTTTAAGACATGCCGTGTCTATCAAAGGAGGAGAAGGAGGGAGAGGAGGAGTAGAAGAAGAAGAAGAGGAAGAAGGAAGAAAAAAAAAGAACAAGAAGAAGAAGAAGACATAGTACATAGTAACTAGGACAATAGCTAGATAGATAATGTTTCTCTGTGATTTTTGGATAGGGATTTTTTTTAAAGACGTAAAGAATCCGGTACCTGCCCCAAAGTGTCTTAAATATAGGTGCCGGTACTCAGCACAAATTGTCACAGTCCCCCCCCCCCCCCCCCCCCCCCCCCCAAATATGCCTGAAAATAGGTGCCGTTACTGCGTACCGCCAAAAACATCCCGTAGTTTTATGTATTTTATTCCCAGCAAACTACAACCCAGTTATTCATGTTTGGCCTCAATGGTAAACCCTTTCCGTCTACCGTAATTATTTATTGACACACCATTCATTCTTTAAGTCGCCGTCGATCTATGGCAGCACACATTGCCCGGCCCAGATAGCTTTGCTACACATGCGCACCGGTTCTCACATGTCTCCGCTGCGAGACGGCAGGCCGGGGTAGTGCATTTCAATTCTGAGGCCCTATCTGGGTTGGATGATTACTGATTTAATGATGTGACAGAAATGTGGATATGGACTGAAGTAATACAGCATGGCGTAAAGTGAGACGGGTGGCTGGACTAGCCGAGAGACCGGCAGGAACATTTTACATATCTGGCTCATAGTATGCAGTCTGTTGGTTTCTCGCCTCTCAGGCAGACGAACTCCGACATCGAGGGGGAAAAACTCCTCTAATTAGTCGACTTGTACGACATGCTAGTTAAGCAGGCAGCGGTTGAGTCTATTCTTTTTTTCTCCAGGAATGAGGCCCTGGAATTTACACGGGGATGTGGAAGTAAAAGCAGCCGGAGTGCTGTTGACCACAATGCCCGTCAAATGCCGATGTGATCTATTAAAAATGTGCCTATAACAATTTCGCAAATGCCCAACATATCTTTGCTATCAAAAACCTGACGGGAAGTAACGAAACAATTATTATCACAAACGGTTAAGAAACAAACGTCGCTGATCGCACTTAAAAACCACTTTCCACTCTGACCTACTTTGGCTCAGGGATTTCCAGGCCCCGGCATCCCATCCCTCCCCGCGCCCCGCCTGTCGTGTTTTCCCTATCCGTCCCAAGCGGATCTCGACAAGAGGTTAAACGAGGGGTTTTCCCCACAAAGGCTGGGCAGTCGTTTATCGGAGCGACAGGGAATGTCTTTATGATTACGGATGAGTTCTTTCTCACGTTTTCATTGTAATGGAAGTTGTTTGCACCTGCGAGGCTGTTATGTCCCGTCAGCGGGATCAGGCCTTCCTATTATTATTTCTCTTCCTCTTCTTGTTTTGTTATTTTCCGAAACTTCTTCTTATTATTATTCTTCTAATTTTTCTTCTTCTTCTTCTCCTCCTCCTTATTAATATTATTTTCTAATGTTTCTTCTCCTCTCCTCCTTCTTCTCCTTCTTCTCCTCCTCCTCCTTCTTCTTCTTCTTCTTCTTCTTCTTCTTCTTCTTCTTCTTTATGTTACGAATCTTCTTCTGAATCTTCTTCTTCTTCTTCTTCTTCTTCTTCTTCTTCTTCTACTTCTTCTTCTTCTTCTTCTTCATGTTCCGAATTTTCTTCTTCTGCTTCTTCTTTCTCACCGTTCAGTCAATCAATCAACTGCCGTCTCCACAGTGAAGGTTAGCTTCAATGGATCTCCAACACACTCTGTTTCTCCTCCTGGTTGTACACACTCTCATACTGCTGCCTGTCCATCTCTTGACGTTGTCCTCCCACTTGTATCTTGCCTTCGACTTTTCCCTCCAGTGTGGTTTTTAAAAGTGTGTTATGTCTTTTAATGTGGCCAAAGTATTCCAACTGTCACTTCTTTTTCATTTCTTTCAGAATTCTCTTTTCATTTGTACTCTTTCCATAACCTCTGTATTGGACTGTTTTTGTTTTACCATGAAATATGACCTATTCTTCTGTATACCCACATTTCCAGGGACTCAATGTGCTTTTCTAGTTGCTTGTTCATTGTCCAAGTTTTTGCACCATATTTACCGTTACTTTTATTCAACGTCTGCTCGAAGCTGAAATTAATGGCAGTGCTGCTTCCGAATCATTTAGGCGTTGTGTGTTTACTGTGTAAAACAAAACAAACATAAAATCTGTTTACGTCCTTTATAAAAATTGAATTTCCAACGGCCTAAATTGTTACAGCCCAAGCCTGGATAAATTATTTCAAAACGAGACTTATTCTTTTTGATTTACTTAGTGCAAAGAGATTAATTATTAAAAAGAAAAAAAAAATGAAAGTGTGTCTGCTAGTGCCCCCATCTACAGTATGTGCAGCTTCCACAAAACGATTTTGTAATTGTGTTCCTCCTTATGAACTAGGGCAGCTGTTCCAAAACTGGGTGTCGCAGTAATAATCAAGATTTTTTTCAAAGTCTGCTTAAGATCAGTGAAGACATCAGTTTCAAACGGAAATACCAGGAAGGAAGCCAAGAAGAGTTCTGGTTGCAGGTGTATTCAGAAGAAAACAATGCAGTGATGCATTCTAAACGTACGCTTACATAAAAAATAAAATAAAAAACAGATGCAAGAGCAACCTTCCTTTGATTTGAGGGTACATTTAACTAAACGTCTGACAAGCATAAAAGAAATGCTGGACAAGGGTGCCGAGGCGAAAAGAAGTTTGAGAAACGCTGGTATTGCCTACTGACATTTTTCGTAAGGATTAGGGTGACCCTACGTCCCGTCTGACCGAGGCAGTCTCGTTTTTCTGCCGTGTCCCGGCCGCCCCGTCGGTACTCAAAAAAAAGGGCGGGGGGGGGGGTGAGGGGGTCAATTATCCTATTTTAGAGTCCTTTATGAATAAGCTCGAGAATAGAAAATACACTTATATCCGCAGACCTGATTAGATTTTTTTATTTATGTTGAATGCCTGAAATATGTTGATAAGACATTAAGGTCCTTATCACGTTTCCCGGCCCATCGACTCACTACATAGTCTTCTATTCATACTTTCTCAGACTCGCGTATTCTATACTACAAGACGACACAGCTTTTAATGACCCTAGAACATGTAGAACTGGCCCTAACCATAACCCCCCGACCCACAGCCTGAGTCTAGGTCACGCAAGAGACTTTTCGACGAAAGCAGTACAACGTGACACCCTCTGACCTAGATCAGACTGAGATAGTGTGTAGGTGGGCCGGGAAACGTGAACAGGACCAAAAGTGAACTGCCCCGTTTTTATAAGAAAACTGGCTTGTTTCCCCCCCCCACCCCCCCCCCCAATATGCACTTAAAGAGAACATTGTTTCGTTAATTTTTTTTTTTAGTACAATGGTTCTGGTTTTAAGACCATTCTCCAGCGAGTAATTAACCCGTTCATCCTGGTAACCTATGAGAAAAATTGAGAGGGGAAAGGAAGGAGAATAAGGTTTGGGGTTTAAATTGACTGGCTTGGGTTGCCTCGTTTTCAAGTTAGCAGCCGCCACTGGTTGCTTTTGTTTTTTAATTGCTTTTTTTTGCTTTTCCTTAAATGTGCTTAGTGTGGTATTATTATTTCAAGTACTGCCACCCACGCGAATCCCTTTGTAACTGCCAATCAGTGAATACTTGTGAAATAAAATTATGTGAATTTTTCCTAGACTCCAAGTTTCAATTACAAATTAATCGATCACATTCTATATTCGAACTGTTATTTATATTACGTGCATGAACGGGTTAATTACACAAGAGGGAGATAGAGATAGAGAGAGAGGGGGGAGGGAAAGAGAGAGAGAGAGGGGAGAGAGAGAGAGAGAGAGAGAGAGAGAGAGAGAGAGAGAGAGAGAGAGAGAGAGAGTCATAAAACAAAAACACAATTTGTAATATTTGACAAATTTGTAGCAACAAGAAGAACTATTGCATAAATAAAGGACACACCACGGTTATTTCGTAATATTAACCCAGATGATCGTCACATGACAGTCCAACATTTTAGAGGGTGGTAAGACTAGTGTTTCTCCGGCTTTCTGATGCGGTTAACGATCCCAAAACATCTAGAACTGGCCCTAACCCCAACCCACCTACGTCCCAAGAGATGGTGCAACTTAAGTTCCCCGACTGCATGCAGCCTAGGTCCCACGATTGCATGCATCCTATTTACCACCCTGTGGATTTCATGCTGTACGATAGACATGGCCAATGAGACACCTTTTTTTGGCGGGTGCCGAGTTACCATGTATCTTAGTGCACTTGTATTCATGGCGAGGCGCAGACGCCGTCTGGAGGTGACAGGTTCAATTCCCGGCACGGTAACTATAGCTTTCGATTTTTATGTTGTCTAGTGTGTTCTTCTATCTTTCTATGAGTGCCGTTCACAATACTTTTTGTTACTTGATTAATTCTGAAATATTAGACTGTCCTGTGACCTGTGGATTTCCCCTCTTTGGGGTGGGATATTAAGAAAACACCCATACCACACACAATACTCACATAAGGCGATCCCTCAAAATTGAATAATTTTTCGTCCGTGCAGCAGATGTTATTTTTAGACTTGACCTTTACTCGGGTGTTGCGGTCAAGGTCTTTATCCGAACACGGGAAACAAGATTCTATAATGATATAGCTGTTTGAGTCTTTGGATGAAGATAGCAACGAGGTGCCCACCACCGCCTCGTTCTTCTGCGACATCCAGAACCCAAAGAAAATTCCAAAGGGAATTCCCAGAAGCAGGTTTAAAATCACTGACATTATGAGAGCAACTTTGATAGTTCTGTTGTTGAAAGAGCCGGACACCTGGCGCATAAGTCTGTGGGCGCGTGTGCTTAAAGCTGGGAAAGACTCGCTCATTTCGTTGACGCAGTTCTCGGCGTCCTCGTAGGAGATCTGGCGTTCAGCAATGCGGTTGTGGCGGACCTTGTTGGCTGGTTTGTTGGGTGATGGAGCTGGTGCGGAGTCAAAGGTGACTCGTGTGTCCTTGGCCATGGCGGAGAAAGATGTCTCGGTAATGCTGGAAGTAAAATGAAGGGACAGTTATTTGCATGGCTATTCAGTGCTTCTAATCTAATTACTTTTTCAGTCCCAATGAGCGTATCACACTTTTAAAGGTTTTTACCTAAAAGCAGGGTGAACTTAAGAGGCGCCGATTGCACATTTATCTTTACCACTCCTTGGGCCTCTAATGCTCAGCCCCCTTCGGACTGAAAAAAGATATAATTTTTACCTGGCCACCGCCCTTCCCCCACCCCGGCCATGTTTCATACTTCTATTTTTATAATCAACTGTTGCTCGACGGACGATGTGGTCAACGCCAGTTGATTAACGACTTCGTCAACACTGCGCCAGTTATCTTTACTTTTCATATGAAGACAGGGCTATATATGATACACTGGGAGGTTTGGACTGCATGATAGCTTTCATAAAGGCTGCCGTACTCCTAACATAAGTTTTATGACAGAAGGAAAGAAGTAGAAGAAGAGGAAGAATGAGGAGGAGGAGTAAAAAAAAAAGATGAAAAAATTGAAAAACAAATGTCCGTATGATGTGGATTTGAACCCAGGTCAAATGGCCAGAGAGCAAGCTTTAGCAGCGACTTCTTCAGAGATCAATGTTTACTATGCGTCTATGTCTATATGGTTCATAAACAGAACGGTGCGCTTCAGATCTTCAGCTGTGCCTCAAAGTTTATCTTGTAGGGACGTTCCAGCGGGCCAGATTTCTTCTCTCTAGCAGCGGCAACAAACATAACCATTAAAATAAATGTTCCCAAACACACACCGTCTCTCGCACACCGTCCAAGAAAGCGATCGTGCCGTTATTTGGGCTCAGCAGACTAACCTGTTCCTAAAGGTTCTTCTTACAAAGTTCAGTCAACCAACAGTTCAAGGAGCTTGGGCAAATTTGCTCCGAATAAACAAAGGGTAAGTAAGTACAAGAACTAGGCTCTACGAAAAGAGAGAAGTCTTTAAATAAACAACACGGGGAAGCAACTTCAGCACTGGGATCAAGGGGAGGGAATTAGCGTGTAAGTCTGGAGCGAGCACTGGGTCTGTACAAGCAAACATAACACACCTTGGCCCTCCCATCTCGACCTACAGGGTTGTTAGCTACCTGAGAGAGAGAGAGAGAGAGAGAGAGAGAGAGAGAGAGAGAGAGAGACAGAGACAGACAGACAGACAGACAGACAGACAGACAGACAGACAGACAGACAGACAGACAGACAGACAGACAGACAGACAGACAGACAGACAGACAGACAGACAGACAGACAGACAGACAGACAGACAGACAGAGGGAGCACAGACACACATATACGTGCAAAGCTCAGTGAATTATATGAAATAAAAGGGAACATTATTGTGCATAATATACACATTGATGTACTTTTACGTCGCATCATAGGACTCTGTTTCCGAATGGTGGTACTTTGTACCACCGGGTATTTAATGCTCGGTATGATGTCCTGATGGGGTTAAACGTCAGACAGTCATAGAAAACAATTTTTTATATATATATATATATATATGGTTATTTATAAGCCCCATTCCAACTGTCGTCGAGACGCTAATATAGCCTAAGGTTTAACAGGGTTTATAGGACTTGTACCGTTGTGATTCTCAGTTGAATGGTGGCATCTTGTGTCACTGGATGTTAATCGTTCGTCGTACGGTCCTGGTAGTGTCGAACGTCTCTCACTTTATATACACATGTGAAATTGTCTTTTTTAAGACAAGATCTTATATCTTTTCACACACATATATATAAACAGGCTGCATGTAATAATCTTCTGTCTCTTCCCCTCCACCAGGTTTTATTCCTGTCCTCAATCCCCAATTTACTGGGTTTTATCTTTCCTGCTTCTTGCACTTGTTTCCCTATCTTCCCCATTTTTACCTGTCTAGAGTTCCACTGTTAATTGCCCATAGTCTTAAGCTTGGATACATTTCGTTTAACAGTGAAGTGCGAGGAGGGGCCTTTTGCCTAGTCACGAACCGGGCCCCTTGTGTTGTTCCATGTAGGGGGACAACGAGAACACCACCCCACCCCTTTTTTTCCCTAACAATCGTGTCGTAGGAGTCGACCAATTAGAGGGGATCCCTTCGGAGTGCATTTGCCTGAGAGGCAAGGAACCAACTGTGTGCATACAATTATGCCATGGCTGTAAAACGGGTACACACACGAAAGTCAAGTCCTTGAACAAAGACAAAGTCGAGAAGTGGACAAACAACAAGGAGTTTCAGCTGGGGTTTACATCCAGTGTGAACAAACAACAATTAAACGGGGTTTTTTTTTTTTACAATGTCTTATCCAGTTCCGGGATTTTGCCTCACCTCGAAGAAAAGGTAAAGACAGCAGTTACCAACGTTGCGTATGAAGAGTTTAGGGTTATCATATATTCTAGGCCAATATTTTTCAACTCGTGGCCCGCGGAAAAGTCCCTGTGGTCCGCGAAAATAATTACGCCTAATAATGTAACGAGGTAGGGTAGGTGATTGTTACTGTTCTAATGGGTACCAGGTAAAATCTTGTGAAGTAAAGGAGGCCGGTGCAATGTTTACCACTTCGACCACCAAGTGTCGATTGGTCTATGAAATAAATGTCTAGCCCTAAATGCCCAATACGCTGGAGGGCGTGAAAAATTGGTCCTTTACTGGGGAAATCTAACCACAGACCTCGAGGATTATGGCTGTTGGGGGTTGCACCCAGACAACCGTCTTACTAACGACTGTGCTTTTGCGGTTTTCGTTCACAGCGAACTAGTTTTCTCTTCATGGGCATGAGCGAATCTAACATACCACAGCTCGGAGCAGCCGGCCGCTATCTGTTCTTCCAGCTTACGTTATCGGACCGCTCTAAGGTCTTCTTTCTTCACCTCCGATTTCCGTGGATAGTTATTGCCAATTGTGTATTAGCGTCTGAAGGCTAGACGCAGAAACACGTCTGGAATTCCGATAGGGTGTATTGCCAGTCTTAGGCTTATGGAGACAGAGAATGGGGCATTATCTTCACGGATTTTTTTTATATTTTTTATATTTCAGACGCATCTGGTAGCAGTATACTACAGCATGGTTATTCAACTAGGTTGACTCAGGGGCCACAATTCTGAAAATGGGGATCGTCATGAGCCAGAAGCCTGAATTCCAGCCTAGAAAGCTCAGTGTTTTATTAATATCCTACCCCATAAGGGAAAATACACAGGTCACGGGACAGTCTAATATTTTAGGGGGTGGTAGATAGGCTGCAGGCAGTCGTAGGACTTGAGCTGCATGCATTCGTGGGACCTAAGTTGCACTCTCTCGTGGGACGTAGGTGGGTTGGGGTTAGAGCCAGTTCTAGATGTTTTTGGGATCACTGAAAGCATCAGAAAGCCGGAAACCCAGTCTTAAAACCCGCTAAAATGTTGGACTGTCCTGTGAAGTCATCTGGTGAAGTATATTAAGAAAGAACCGAAAGCTCAGAATACAATACAACTGGCAATATTTCGGGAGCCACTTGCGCTCCAACTGTTTGTTTAAAACAAAAATATCTAGGAATTAGCCCTACGACAGAAAACACACCTATTATTATATCTGGATTCTTCTTTTTTTTTTTTTTTTTTAGATTTCATAGTTTCAGAAAAGTTTAATGTTTGAATTTTGTTGATGATAATTTTCAGTGCGGCATGTCTTTCTTACAGTGCAGTTTAAGAGAATGTTCTTTCGTTTTTTTTTTCTTTTGGCGACAATAATTGTGGTTATTGTTAACGAGTAACTGCCCCCCCCCCATCCTATTTGTCATTAAAAAGCAGAGGGGGTGGGTAAACTGAATTGCTTCAGATGTCCCCTTTTCAGCTCAAAATATTAGACGAATGTCCCGTTTTCAGCTAAAAATAATAGATGGATATCCCGTTTTCAGCTGAAAATATTACTGGGATATCCCCTTTTCGGCTCAAGAAACCATGGACACCCTAGTAAACACACAAAATTAAGTAAGAATTAAGGGAAAGGCACTGGACTATTTTCACCCCACTGGCTAGTCTGACATCTGATACTACTCAAGTTTTTATAGAGCAGACAAAGGTTATTCTACTGACGCTGGGGCCCAGGCAACCGGCCGACGATTTCCAGTTTCCAACATTCCTGAGTCAGTTTAGCTGAATGGCTCTGGAGTAGACCCATCGGCATTCAGTGGGTAATGTGGTTAGAGCAGTCAGGCCGGCCGTCTTGAAGTCTTAGGGCTTTACCTTGTACCCGTTTTAGACAGGATATACAGAGACAATTCCTCATGTAAACGTGAGGCATGCCCTACTTATAAATAAGAACACAAACAAACTGGACTACAAGTTACTTCGTAACCAGTGCTGTGGTGTTCCAGTCTAACTGCGGCTACATGGCTATACGGTTGAACGGGGTTTCCGCAATTTGTACCTGTCTGATCCTCATTATTAAGATGTGAATCATACAGAATAGAATCATAGAAGGTACGGGGAGGGGTGGGGGGGGGGGGGGTGGTGAAATTCCAACATGTTAACCTCTTTTGACCTCCACATTTCTCAATTCCTAACTCATTACCTTATGTTGTCAATTGCTAACACTTTTGCTAACATAATTGCAAATGTTTAATACTGTTTTCTAGAAAATAAGACTGGGTCTTATATTAACTATTGCTTCAAAAAAAATGCACTAAGGCTTATTTATTTATTTGTGTGTGTGGGTGGGGGGGGGGGGGGGGGGGGGTGGGGGGGGGGGGGTCTTCTTTTCCGGATACCTAATCTATATTCATTCATGCACAAAATTCTTTATTATTCAAAGACAGACATGTCATCTTTTTTTGGAACATCGTCATAATTCTCATATACCCGCATTATCAAGTCCGCACCGGTGGCATTTGTACACCTACCGGCCATTCGGCAACAAGTCTCTTATTTTTGTATTATATTGTAAAAAGTCGTCCCCATGTGGGATGCAATTTTTTGTTTGAAGCCCCACCCTGGCTTCTGCCGGGGCCCTGAATAAAGCCAGGACATAGATATGGCCTAGCACTAGATATGGCCTGACGCCTGGGACCTCTCTACGGGTGGTCCTCATCCGTGAGGTGGCACTTTGTGTCACCGGGTGTTTATCGCTTGTGTGATGTCCTGGTGTGGTACAACTACCTACCTACCCTATTCTAGCTGATTTACTGTTATCAGCTTCCTTCCTGATAGTTTAATAAAATAATTACGTTATTATTCCGGCAGAAGCAGATACAGTCGAGTCCACTTAAGTCGAACTCGGATAAGTCGAATTTCGGTAAAGTCGACATGACCAGCTTAGTCCTGGCAATTTTCTCTAATGTGTGTGGTGTCTGGACAGAAACAATTACATGTTTAAAAAATCAAATTATAACTCTTAAATAAACAGGAACATAATGGGGGTAGTTGCACCAACACAAACAAGTACATGTAAGGACTGCAGCATTTACAGACACCACAGTACCTTTGTGCAGGACCCCAGTAGGTAGCATCGTCACTTGAGTAAGGCATGAGCGCTAAATAGTTCATGGGCGGCGCAGCGAGAATTACCGAGGTTATGTTTAGAAGCAGTGGTTATATAGTAGAGCCAACAATGATCACACAACAGAGGAAGTTCACGGGGTACACCTCTGATATAATAGTAAGTCCGGTGTCAGAATTAGATTAGCTACCTGTGTCCAAAAATTCCCTGGTAATGTTGGAGAATTTGATTAATGTAGGCAAATCAATTATCACAACAAGTTGTTTTCCCCTCACGTATACCAAACTCGGTGACTGTATATAAAGCCGTATTTTTAATAATAGTTTATAGCTTAGAACAAGCTTAGTGCTATGGTCTCTGAAATATGTGAAAAAAGTTCTAAATAAAGAAGTTTACAAAACTGATTAATGTATATATTGGCAGTAAATTTATCAAAGAAATAATTCCTGGACAAGCTCTGGTTATGAAAAAAAGCGACATTCAAAAATGTTTATGTCAACTGTTATTTCAAATACTGGCAATATGTTTTAAAATTAAATACTGAAATAGTAAACTTACTTTTGTTTTTAATTATTTCGTTTATGAAAACAGGTTTTAAGCAACCGAGAACAAATGACTTGGAAGTACTCCTGGTTGTTGAAAATCTTCAACGTGAAAACCGATGAATAAATATATATTAGCTTAAACGTGGTGTCTCCACTGAATGAACAGAACACAATGTTTTTCCATGCGGGTATTTCAGCTTAAAGAGACCACCAAATCTGGACTCGGCTAACCTGCAATTGAGGAGCCCTTGCCATGGAGTAGTGAATCTTATATTCAACGCGGGACTCCCCCTCCACTTTCGATTCTGACCTGACGTCAGCAACCACCTACGCCGAGAGATTTCTACTTTCTCTCTCACCACCAGGCGTTCTCCGTGCAGTCGGTGAGAGGTGGCATTCTACCCTCTCCTTGGACTGGGTCACGCCGCGTCTGCTGCTGTCTGGTGTTTGTGCGCCGGCGTGCCGGTGGAAAGTCCAGCAGTCGGGGAATTTTTCTTTTCGCCACCTCAGGTGGCAGTGTCTGTGACTGCCGGATCCGGATCTCTGACAGTGTTATGAATGGTGTCTGGGAGCAGAATTTCTCTCCCCCCCCCCCTCTCTCTCTCTCTCTCTCTCTCTCTCTCTGGACGGGTGCTATTAACTATAAGAGACTCAACAGCAAACACTTACGAGCCAGCATAACTATCCCCACAATGGGACAGCGGGTTACTTAGTAACACCATGGGGCGCCCTAATATTGGTAGGCCAGGCCATTCAAAGAACCTGAAGCAGAGCTGACGATGTTGGTACTCTTGTATACATCTGGTACAAACATGTCATAAAAGTCGACTAATTAGGAGTGTTTATTTCGAAGTCAGAATGCACTGCCGGGGAGGCAAGGAACAGTATGCATACATGCTGGCAAAACTCAAGTTCTAGCTAGAACAAGACTCAAGTCCAAAAACTGGACGAAAAACCTGAGTTCACAGCCGGCGACAACGTGAAGAAGAAAGAGACGGAGAAAAGGAGGTTTAGGAGGAGCAGGAGCAGGAGAAGAAGAAGAAGAAGAAGAAGGAGGAGGAGGAGGATGGGAGGGATCAGCTTGAAGCCTGTCACCCCTTTCCTAAATCCATTATCTCTATTTCTACATTACACCCCACTATACGAACTTCAGACCACGTTCCCATGAATCGAACAGTCAGTAAAGTTTTAATATTAATTTTAGCTGAGCGTAACAGACGAGCCAGGTAAGGCTACCTTGCCGGCACCTCGACGTCCCCCGTTGTTCGGTGTGTACCCAGGCGGTAACTCAAATCAGGTGATAAATTTAAAGTGACATTCTCAAATATGGGACGTGGGCAGAAGCGTTGCGGCGGATGAAAGACGAGGGGTGGGAGAAAAACTGAGGAACAAAAGACGAGAGTTAGCAACAAAGTGAGAGAAATGTGAGTTTTCCGTCTTAGAATCCTGTGTTTTCCAGTGCTTCAAATAAGGGTAGGCATCTTGAATTTTTAGTTCAGGTCGATGACTTCTGGTGTACAAGACGAAGGGCACACGAAATAACGCACAGCCTAGGTCATTCCTTGTTGTGTTAGATGTTTTAAGTGGCCTGTTCGAAGTCAGGTCACGCATCGCTTTGCCGTAACTATATATGTTCCTGTTTAAACAACGGATTAACATCATGGCACAACGGGTGGTAATCCATAAGTGCTCTGTCCAAAGAATCTCAGAGCAGTGCAAGAACTCCGTAGCACCGGCGATGATCCTGAAAATACTTTGGGTATATTTTTAGCTATACAATTTGCACAGGCAGCGCCGTTAGGCTACTTTTTGACTTCCAACTGTCAAGGGATATTTTACATGCCCAGTAATACACACGGGCGTCCGATATTACTACCCGGAGACCAAGAAAAATTACTAGAAGTTCGTGTAAAAAAATTCCAGCCTTCACCGGGGCTTGAACCCAGGACCCACACACTCGAGGCAGACGCAATGTCTCGAGATCACTTAGCTCCCTAACTATATATGAATGTTGCTCTAGACTAAGCTGCGCAAGTCGGTGTCTGTGGCTGCGTTGCGAACCTAGCTGCAGGCTGTTTAGCACCATGCCGTCTTGCGTTGGTTTCGACAATGGTACCGAGAGTCGCCCATTTAGAAAGCAATGGCAAACTACTATACGTTCAAATTTACCTAGAAAAACTGCAACAGCTGAACAAAAACGGGGATGGGTCTAAAGCATCCTGTAAAGTCTACGCAACTAATTAAAGATAAAGGTAAAGGTGAGAGGATCGACTTAGTCGCACCGAATTTTATCCCATTTGGCTCTGCCGCTTTCCGCAATACAGCTTGCATAGAGCACAACCTCCGTAGCTCCGGCAATGACCCCTAGGCATCTCTGTGAAAATTGCACTCAAGAAACGAATGGCGCCGCTGTGAAGCGAACCCAGGACCTTCACGGCGCGAGGTAAACGGCTTGACCACTACGTCAGGGAGACCCCTACACAACTAAAAGAGTAATGGAACCGATCTCTCTATCTTATTCTACGTCCTCTAACTCTATGGCGAATTACACTTGGGTAGAAGATGTGCTGGTTCCGTCTTCATGCACAGTGTTATTGTGTCTGAATCCTCTGAAAGTATTTTACCCCGTCAAGGCGCTGACATTCCACTACCACCACCACAGTGACGTCTACGACGATTAAAACTACTGCTACTACTACTACTACTACTACTACTACTACTACTACTACTACTACTACTACTACTACTACTACTACTACTACTACTACTACTACTACTACTACTAGTACTACTACTACTACTACTACTACTACTTATGCCACCACCACCACCTCCACCGCCACCAACAATAAAAACAATAACAAAACCATCCCACCGATATTATCACAATAGCGACTAAAACTATTGTTACTACTACTGCTACTACTACTACTACTACTACTACTACTACTACTACTACTACTACTACTACTACTACTACTACTACTACTACTACTACTACTGATGCTGCTGCTACTACAGCTACTGCAACTGCTACTACTTCTGCTGCTGCTACTACCGCTAGCACAACTTTTCAGCCTCGCTCAATTTTGGGTTGAATTTTTTTTTATTTACTTTTAATCCCCACGCCCGCTTGGGTGGGGGTGGGAGGGGGGTCCCTAATATAACCTTACGAATGAACGGGGTTTCTGGGACTTGACCTAGGGTGATTCTTATTCGAGTAGTGACACTTTGTTTCATCCTTTGTTTGTCGCTTGTTGTGTGGTTGTGGGGGGGGGGGGGGCAGGTTAACGTCACTACCGCGACCTCTACTGCTGTCGCAAATAATAAGTAAAGAATAATAATTCTACTACTACAGACATGAGACAGAACTGTAAACAGAAAGGGACGGAAGAAGACAGAAGAGGGAAAAAAATAGAGAGTGGACGAAAGAGTGAGGGATTACAGCCAGGAGACACAATAATGTGGCGACAGGGGCGCCTACTAGCGCATCATTAGCACATATAACTACATCGGTCCAAATAACAAAATCCCAGAAGCGTGAACAGACATGATCGCCGAGGCCAGCAGTCAAGAAGTTATCAGACGACCCCCACACTGTTCTAGTCCTCATTACTTCCAACGTTTAACACTATGTGTTACAATGTCCTTTGAGCTTCATTGCGAAGGAATAGCTGGGACTCCCTTACCTACCTGCTAAACATTATCTCCCCTCGATACCGGGCTGACACTGATTACGGCCCCTGGAAAAAATGTCCTATAATTTGCTGCTGGGAATTTGGGCTCATAATGACCCGCCAAATACGGTGTCACATTAATAAAGCGTCACCTATCATGTATCCCTTGTTGCACGGTGTGTGTTAGAGCGTCCTTCAATGGGGCAATCATGACCGGGGTATTTAGGGTCGCGCAAGGATCTCATTTAACGGGCGGGAGCTATCGCATAAAGTAGAAGGACCCTTTTCCACGTCATTATGCCTATTGGACTAAGTGTACAGTAAAAGTAAAGGACATATTGAGTATGTAGGGCGAGACCTACATTTTATAGACCAAACGGCACTTGGTGAGTGATGTGTTCAGCATTACGTCGGCCGCCTTTACTTTCCAGGATAGCACCTGGTACCAACTCAAGGCTGGGTCGACCTAGGAGCCAAGTTCATTTTTGAAAAATGCCCGGCCCCCGTCAGGAACCGAATCCACAATTCCGGTCTGCAGGCAGCGTCTAGCCTCTTGACTACAGCGGCTCCCCCCTTTGGTATACAGTGCTAGATCTATATTTTAAAGATAGACCAATCGGCAGTCCGTTACAGCTATTACTACAACTAATAATTCTGCTACTAACACCACTAACTACCGCAACAACCGCTGCAGCTACAAAGTAAAGAATAATACTTCTACTAATGGAATCTCGTCGTATCCCTGTTGATGCAATTTTTCGTTATTTTGAAGCCCCACCCTGGCTCTTACCAGGGGCCGCAGCATAG